GTGCACCACTGCCACCTGACCAAGGTGTGCACCACTGCCACCTGACCTTTTTTTTTTTTTAATTACTGTGTGTGTGTGTGTGTGTGTGTGTGTGTGTGTGTGCATCAGGGAAGAACCTTTAGGAAGAAATCCTCAATGGGTGGTACTGGCACACGCCTTAAATCCCAGCACTCAAGAGGCAGAGGCAGGTGGATCTCTGTAAGTTCAAGGAGAGTCTGGTCTATAAAACAAGTTTCAGGATAGCCAGGACTATTACACAGAGAAATTCTGTCTCAAAAAACAAAACAAAACAACAAAAAAAGAATTCTCTACCCCCCACTGTGGGTTTCAGGGATTGCACAGGGGTCTTCAGCCTCTCCCAGCAAACACTTTACCCTTCTGAGCCATCTGGTACACCAGCTCCCCTTTCTTGTTTATTTATATATTCACTTAGAAACGAGTTGTTTCCTGCAATGCCCAGGCTGGGTACAAATGATCCCCCTGCTTCAGCCTTCCAAATAGCTGGGACCTGTGCCAGCAAGATTTTCCTCAAAACCCCACAATGTCCAGACCTTGCTAGATCCCAGTTATTGTACACTGTGCTCACACCTCCTCTCCCGACCACCTCACGGCCTTCGCAAACCCTCCCACCCTGAACCCAACTGGAAATCTAGGCTCACACAAGAATTTACCTTTGCTTCTCTTTACTCATAACATTGACTCTTTGGAGGTGTCTGAACATTTGACAGGACAGAACATCACTAATTCATCAGTACACTGGATACAGAGCTCACTTGGGGAATCTCCCTAAAGCCCCTTTCCTCCTCACAGCGTGTGTGTGTGTGTGTGTGTGTGTGTGTGTGTGTGTGTGCGCACGCGCACATGCGTACACACGGAGGCCAGGAAAGTGAGTGTGTGTGTGGGGGGGGGGGGGGTGTAGAAGAGTTTCAGGTTGGTGGTTTCAAGCCACCCAGCGTGAGTACTGGGAACACAACTGGGTTTCTCCGAAGAGCCGTCAGTGCTCCTAACCGCCACCTTGCCCTCTACCCGCTCCTGGTACTTAGCAGAGTCAATGGCTCACGCTTGATCTGCCATCATCTCCGGTCACCTCAAGGGTGACCACAAACACTGATCGCTCCTGCCTTGGTGCAGGGATTTCCCTTTTCTTTGTCCTGGGCAGGAAAGGAAGGGCTAAGAGACTCTCGTGTACCCCAGCTGGCCTGCAACTTACTATGTAGGTGAGAACGACCCTGCTTGTTTTCCTTTTAGTTTTTATCGGTTCATTTTATGTCATGCATGTGAGTGTTTTGCCTGCTTGCATGTATAACATGTGTACCATGAGCATGTAGTTTCCACGGGCCAGAAGAGGGCGTCAGATCCCTTGGAAATGGAGTTGCAGGCGCGCTTGTAAGCCGCTACATGAGGGGCTGGGACTCAAACCTGTGTCTTTTGGAAGAGTGGCCAGTGCTTTTAACAGCTGAGCCGGTATCTGGAGCCTTCATGCTCTCAGAAGACAGCATCACTAGCCTGCTAACTCCCCAGCCCCTAGCTGGTTCACTGAACATGGGTGGTCAGAGGGAGCCCTGTTCTAGAAGGACTCACACTACATCCACTCAGAACCCCCCAGTGACTCTTCCTCACTCTGAGTAAGAACAGAAAGTCCCCAACGGAGCCTTGATACGGTGGTGTCTGGCCTGCAATGCTAATGTTCCTCCCTTGACCTTGTCTCCAGCCTGGCAACCTTGCTCCCTTTCTCTCCTGAATATTCCGCCCTGGTGCTACCACACACAGTGAGCCCCACAAGGACTGGTATTTTAGCCCACCCGACTCAAAAACCTATCTCCAGGCCTAGACACACCCAGGCTGTCAGCTTTGTGGCAAGCGCCTTTCCCCCACTTGGCCATCTTGCCAGCTCAATACTTGTATGGTTTATTAATTAGATGCTGGAGACTGTTTGGTTGAAAGTACCTGAACAGAGATGTCCAAGATGACAGAAAGACGGGAGGAAGATGGCCGGGAGGAAGATGGCCGAGACAGCGGAGCAGAAGTAGGGAGTGGCGGGGAGGTCGGGGAACGTCAGAGCTCCTTTCCAGGGGCTGTGTTCAAGTCTTCTCTGTGTCATTTCCTCTCACCACCCCCCTTTACACAAGAGGAGGGTAAAGCTCAGAAGAGCGAACTGCCAAAGGTTACACACCCAGTAGAGCCAGGGCCTGAAGGCAGCGTGTGGAACACCAGACCACAGATTAGTCTCACTCATTCCTGCCACTGCCAGGTACCAGACAATGGAGAGATAAATGGGGGGAGGCGGACCAGAGTTAGTTTTGCAGGAGGGTGGCTCCCAGGAAGAAACCAATCTGAGACTTAGGCTTGGTGTTTGGGCTCCTGTGTCTCTCCGCTCCTCCAGAAAGGACCTTAGGCAGGCGGCCCACTTGCCCCAGGGGAGATGACAGGAACTGGGTCCTATGCATTGGCAGCAATGGACGTTATGATGACCCAGATTCCGGACAGCGGGTGGCCAGTTTCAGTTCCTGTGTTAATCCACTGCTAATGAAGGCAGGAAAACACGTGTACCTGCCTACAGCACAAATCCCAGGGAAGGCAGAGAACGGCCTGGCTTTGCTCAGTTAGGGGCCTCCAGGCTTCAAGAGCCTCCTCCTGACAGTGATCTGGGGGAGACCTTTTTCAGGCACACACACACCCACCCCGCCCGCTGACTAGAATAACTTCAGGCTACACACCAGCTAAGCCTGGCTCTGGCTCAGTGTGACCAACAGTAAGCACGGCTCTAAATCGTGTGTTCCGGAAAAGGGTGCCCAATTCGGGGCCACAATTCTGTTTTTAAATTAAGTCAATATCAAGATGGCAGATTTGGGCAAGGCGAGGTGGCTCATGCCTCTATGCTCAACACTCTGGACACAGAGCCTGGGAGATCTCTCTATGAGTTCAAAATCAGTCTGCCATACATAGTAGTTCCAGGACAATCAGAGACACAGTGAGACTCTGTCTCAAAAGAAGTGCGGGAGCAAGTGTGGATTCGTTCAGTGCCTTCTGGCTGATGCACCGGACTAGCCTCAGGGAATTCACGTTCTAGTCCTCAGTTTCTCATAGGCCCTCTTAGCACGGCAGCAATCACTGCCTCCGCCGCTCCTGGCCCACACTGTAGGCTCAAGGGACCCGCAGGGTCAGTTTCAGGAACTGAACCTGAGTTTCCATACAAAGTAAGCAGGCTGTTCTGGAACAGCCAGAGGAAAATCACAAGCTCAGATCAGAGGTTGAGGTTAGGCCTGGCAAAGCCCTCTTGGGTAGCCTTCCCACTTCCTCATATCCCTCTTGCCAAGCAACAGAGTCTCCCAGCACTAACTAAAGTCGGCTCCTTCCCAGCGCAAGACTCTGATCTTTCTTACTAGACTCCCCCGACTTCCTTACTGTCCGCCAAACCCACCTCCATATGAAGCAGCACCCCACTCCACAAGAGAAAGTCAGCATGTCAGTAGGGAAGTTCCTCTGGAGACAGAGCCACACAAATACAGAGGATACAGCCATCCCCCCTCCACCCCACTCCTAGGCCAGGGCATGGAGCAGGGAAAACAGGCTCTCTGATCACACAAGGGCCGAGACCAAAGGCAGGAGAAGCAGGGCCTGAGTGGCAGAGGGTGTGGGACAGAGGAAGGAAGGGGGGAGGGGCGGCTTGGGCCCCACAGGTGTGTCCGGAGGCAGCAAACACAAAAGGTCCAGGGGTTGAGGGGCATCTCTGCCCACCAGCTTCTTAATCCCAAGGTGGGGACCCCCTCTCAAGCCCCCACTCCCAGCTGTATACAGTTCACACAGGTTCAGCCACCCTGGCCCTCTGGAGTGGGAGACAGAGAGCATCCGTTAAGTGGACCCGCTAGGCTTTGGCCCACCCACGTCCCCCTACCTGGCTGTCGCTGCTGCGGGTCTGACCCCCGACCCAGGGGGACTGGGAGTCTGGGGAGGGCAGCTCGGAGCCCGGCCTGGTTGCTGCTCGGCGCCCGGAGACGCCGGGTCCTGTCCCCATGGTGGCTGGAGGAAGCGGCAGTCAGCACTGCGCTCAGGACAAAGCGCGGAGCCCCGCTTCCTGCCATTGTGCAGTCGCGCCCGGGAGGGGGTGGCTGGATCGGTGACACCCCGCGGAACCTCAGCCACTCCCAGGCAGGGCCACTCAGCTTTGAGACCCTGCCTCTGGGACAGGGCCCATCCCAGGGGCTCGAGACACAGCACAAGATGGGTGCAGCCGGTTTAAGGACCAACTCCCTTAGGATCCCGCCCTGGGCCAACTCTCTTTGCTGGGACTCCGCATCTTGTTGCATTCTCTGCTGAGTCCCATGCCAGCCCCATGCAAGGTCCTAGGGGACCCCCATCACATACACCCCAAGCAAGAGCCTGGGGATCTCTGCTCCAGGGGCAGAGGTAGAGACTCCAAGGCAACACCTGACCTGGAAGCGAAGCGGGAGGTGCGGGGAGGGCTGTTGGGAAAGAGTGGAGGAGCTGGGCAGTCCCCAGCTGTCCCCAGGGAGTTGGGCCAGGGAAACCCCTCAACCAGGCAGGCTTTCGCGGAAGGTCACTGGTATTGCTACGACGGGGCACTGACACCAGAGGGCGCTCAACACAACATGACAAGCTGCCTGCTCCCCCCCCCCATGGGGGTGGGACTGTCTCCACTCTGGTTATCAAGAGTTTCTACATTCATCCCAAGGAAGCAGAGGCACACTATTTTTTGTTTGGTTGGTTGGTTGGTTTTGGTTTTTCAAGACAGGGTTGATATGTGTAACAGTCCTGAATGTCCTGGAATGCGCTTTGTAGATCACACTAACCTTAAACTCAGAGACCTGCCTGCCTCTGCCTGGGTGCTGGGATTAAAGGCAAACTCCAAAACCTCCCAGCTGGAGGGGGGAGGCAGATAACACCACTATTGGCCCCTCCCATTACCTAGGGGATAAAGCAGAAACAAATGCAGAGTCGCGGCTAAGCCCAGACTGGTTTGTACAAGAACTCACTGTGTAGCTGAGAAGGACCCTGAGACAGCGTCTCCAGAAACTCCAGAAAGCTGCGGTTACCACTGGGAGCTGGGAGCGCTAGGGTTTTTTCTTGTTGTTGTTTTGTTTTTTGTTTCAATTTTGTTTTTAGAGACAGGGATTTCGAGTGTTGGGATTAAAAGCCCGCGCCACCACCGCCTGGCCATGGCTGCTATTATTAGTTATCAGTTGTCAACTTGACTACATCTGGAATGAACTACAACCCAGAAATGGAGGACACACACGTGAGATGGTTACTTGCTTGGTTTGAAGGGGATGAATCCACTTCCAATCCAGACCTTTGAGGCAGGAAGACACATCTTTGATCTGGGCCATACCTTCTGCTGGAAGCCCAAATAAGGGCATGGACGAAGGAAGTTCTTCGCCTGCCAGCAAGTTTGTTCCTTTCCTGGCACTAAGACTCCTTCAGGATTCCAGTGTCTACCATAGGCGAGCTGAGAAAGTCAGTCTTGTGGACTGAGTAGCTTCTGGTCTCTTGGACTTTCCATTCACAGCCCGCCATGACTGGATCAGCTGATGCATAGCCTGTAAGTGGTTCTATATACAGAAAGAGATTCATTCTAGAAGTTCCGCTATTCTAGAGACCCACACCTGGTTTACCCGGTTCTGGGGACCGAGTGCTAGGCAAGCTTCTACTGATGGAGCTACATCCATGCCCTGCTTTGTTAACAGAGTATTTTTCGGAGATAGGATCTCACTCTTGTAGCCAGCCAAGGTTGGCCTTGAATTTGAGGCAATCCTCCTACCTCAACCTCTTTTATTTTATTTTATATTTTTATATGCACAGGTACGAAGGTGTCAGATGCCCTGGAACTAGAGATACAGACAGTTATGAGTTGCCATATGGGTGCTGGGAATTAAACCCAGGTCCTCTGGAAGAACAGCCAGTTCTCTTAAACTGCTGAGCCATCTCTCCAGACCCCTACCTCGGTCTCCTAAGCGTTGGGATTATAGGAGTGAGCCACCATGCCTGGCTTAAAACCAGACCTCTGACCCAGGTTGTGGCATCGCTTCTGTGGGCATTCCTCAGTCCCCTCTGAGGAGCATATACTGCCACTGGCACATCTACCCCTAGATAACCCCTGCATCTGACATCGTGAAAGAAGGCAGGAAGCAGGGACTTCTGAGATGGTTCTCAGGGCAGTAATTACACTTCGACTTCAAGGGCTACCTTTATCCCCAAAGCCAGGTCGCTCACCATCTACAACAAAAAATCTCACCAGAAACTGATTGCCCTCATCTCCTAGGTGGTCCCGTGTAGTCATCTGTCCTCTGGCCTTCTGGCTGACAGCCCTAGTGCTCCCCAAGCTCAGAGTCCTCACCCCTCCGTCCAGAACTGTATGTGCTCTCAACCTTCAAATGGTTGGCACGGGGCCCCAACCCTACCTCCCCAAAGGACTCTCAAAATAACTCCCCAGTCTCCTCCTTAGTCCCTAAGGTCGAATGAATCCCTTCTTAGCTTTCTTATAACATGACATTATTCTGCTTCCTTGTTCTCCGTCATTCTTTCCTGCAGAGGCCTGCGGTCTAGCTCTCTGGCTCACTCAGTGTCCTCCCTTCAGCACACAACCACAAGCAAGAGCAACAAACAAAGAAGCAAAGGAAGGGTCTTCAGCTCTCAAAGAACTTGGGACAGAGAAGTTTTCAGGGAGGTTATCCGGCCTGGGGCCACGGGTCAATGGAGCCTTCCCCACTGCTTAACGAAAAGGATTTCTCCCTCTTCCTGGAACCTGTAGGTGACCTTGGGTCTGCTGGCCTCAGAAAGGTGAGCTTCCATTCAAATTCTGGTGGTCCTCAGCCTGCCCCATGGTCAGACAGCTACTGCTTTCCACTGAGTCCTCCCAACCTCCTGTCCAGGAGTTTGAGCAACAAAATCCCACTTAGGCTGAGGAGACAGTGACTGTCCCCAATTTAACAGGAAGAAGTTAAGGCCCGAGAGGCTGTGGGTTCTCCAAGGTGGCTAGTATGCAAGTCGGCAAATGCACGTCTGTGCTTGGAACTGCTGCCCACGGCCCAGGCCCAGGGTGGGGCTGGGGCATGAGCACAGGCTAAGTGGTGGTTTGGACAGGGTCTTGAAGACTACCTTCTTGAGAAGAAAGCAGAGCTCAAAGACAGCTTGGAGGGAATCCCGATGGTATGGGGTAACTAAGTCCCGGAAACTAAAGATCACTGGAGCCAAGACATTTTACCTCAAAAGGACTTCCGAGTGACTGGGCTCTTGTTATGCTGTCTTGGCTATTCTAGTGGGAGGGGGGGATCCCGGGGGGTGCTGCTTAGGGGCCAGGAACTTGCTGCCCCACGGCCAGAATGTAGGGTCACGTTAGTGACAGAGTGGGGGTGAGGGAAAGAGCCAAAGTCCCTGCCATGAAAGGGGAAAGGCCTCCCACCTAACAGACAGCAAAGAGCTGAGGGGCAGACCTGAGGTCCTGGTCCTTGACTCCCTGGGGAAGGGGCCCCTTTCCAGTCCAGCCTGGCTCCAGGGTGTAAGTCAGGGCGGCCTTGCTAAAACTGATACCCAGAAACCAGATGCAGAAGATGATAAATAATGGAGAAATATTGGAGTCTCTGAGGCGCCCCACGCAGGCACTTTCCTCTCTAGGACACTTTTCCCAACCCCAGGAAGTCAGAGGATTCTGTGGCCATCGATGGTCCACACAGGGTCAGCCTGGAATAAGAGGAGTTCTGAATCCAGTAGGAACTATGGATCTGGGGCAGGACGCGGAGCCAGCTCGGTGCTCGGCACACAAGCAGATGGCCCCGAAACAGCAGCTGGGGTTCTTGTCTGAAAGACACACTTGCCCTAGGCTTCTCCAGCAGGGCTGGGCTCCCCTGAGAGATGGCCCAGGGCTCTACCCGCCACCTCAGATATCCAAGGGTGGAGCCTGCATGCGTGGGCAGGCCAGTCAGGGTGGGGTGGCTCTGCCAGGCGGCTCTTACTGCAGGCGGTTCACGGGCCTCCTCCTTTCCCGAAGGCTGGGCCTCACCCTTTTGTCCTATGGGTCTCCAGTCCTGCTTGGAGGCAGAACCTGACCTAAGACAGATGGCACAGGAGCAGAAGCCGGCCTACAGGTCCCTCAGCACAGGCCCTTTCCTTCCTTAGCAAAGTTCCCGGCTGGGCTGCGGTCAGTGAGTCTCACCCCCTAGGGCAGCACCCGGATTCCAGGGACCTGCTTCACCAGTGGCGCTCCGGAGGATCATGGGGAAGGAATCCTTAGAGGCTTTGTGCCCCACCTAGCCCTGCTCTCTCCCAATGGCAGCAATCTTCTCACCGTGTGAAGGCAGCGCTGGCCGGCCACCACTAGAATGTGTCATCTCAGGACAGCTGTTGTGTCCTAGTGGGCACTGGACCTTGATGTGGGGCCCAGGAACAGTAAATACCCAAGAGCAAGGTCACTGAGGAGGGTCACCCAGCATTTGTAGGGCCTAGGGACCCTTTGGCTTCTATCTCCCTGTCTCCCACCAAGACTGGCCAGATTGGTCTCCTTGGTCCATCAGGCCCGACCCTTCCCAGGCAGCCTGAGGCACAGCCTCTTGCGAGCCCTGCTGGCCCCCAGGGACCTTTCCATTTGAGATCAATCGGGATTCCAGCATGGGGCAGGGTGGGAACAGCCTCCTAAGTACACCACAGGCCTAGCCCCTGTGGGGTCATTCCCTACATCCCCACTCTCACTAGCCAGTGGCCTCCGCCCCACGGCCACAGACTCCTCATGGTCACAGGAGCAGTGTTTGAGCACATTCCATCATTAAATAAGAAGAGAGGTGTCAACAGGAACCCTCAGCAAGGAACTGCAGGCCTTGTGAGGCCCCCTAACCAGGACCACTGAGGAACACTGTCTCCTCCTTATAGCCCAGGCTTGAGCTACACAACCAGCTTGAGTCAAACCCAGAGGTGCACAGAGCACAGACGTAAGGTGAACAGCAGACACGGGCCCTGATTCAGGTAGAGGAGTGTCACTATCAGGAGATAGTGTCACCACCTATCAGACTGAGACATAAGGTGTCACAGGAAAGTCCTGCTCACAAACCAGAGGGTGGCAGGAGGCCTGGTGGTGGCTCTGGGTGATAAGCTAGGATCCTGGCTATCAGGAGTGAAGAGTGGGCTTCATGGCATATGACAGGCTGGCACTCCACCAATCTATAGCAGTCAGAGACCCTGGTCCTTTACCTAAGATTCAAGACAGGCCCAAGGGAGAGGAGAGGCTGTGACAGGAAGCTGTCCTGACCAGAGCAAGCAGGGGACCGGGCTGAAGCACCTGCAGCAGCCGGAGTCTATGAGGAAACTGTCCCAAACCAGACTGGCTTCTGGCCATCTGAACAGGGTGTCCCAGAGGTGTGCCTGCCCCTCACCGGGTTCCTTACAAAAAAACTATGCACTGATTTTTATTTTATGTGTATAAGTATTTCGTCTGCATGTATGTATGTATGTATGTATGTACACCACAGGTGGGTTTGGTGCCTACACAGGTCAGAAGAGGGTGCTAGATCCTTTTCAAACGGGAGTTACAGACAGTTGT